TTTAGTTTTTTTAATACCAATTAATGAAGTTGTCATGATTTTTATTTAATTTTTAAAAAATTGTATTAAAAAAAAAAAACAAAAAATAAATCTTAATTTATAAAAAAATTAAAAATTGATGATTCTCAATTTCTATTAGAGAATCGTTATTTTTGATGGTTCCCATAGTGAGTCTGCCAAAATAACGATTTCTCTTAAAGAATCGTTAAATTTGGTGGATTCCCATAATGTATTCGCCAAAATAACGATTTTCTCTTAGTTACTTTTAACCGGTTCCCATAGCGGGTCTGCCAGAATAATGATTTTCTCTTAAAGAATCGTCATATTTAGCGGGTTTCCATAGAGAATTCACCAAAATAATGAATTCTCTTAGAGAATCGTTATCTTTAGCAGGTTCCCATAGTGGGTCCACCAAAATAACAAATTCTTTTAGAGAATCGTTATTTTTAACCGGTTTCCATAGCGGGTCTGCCAAAATAATGATTTCTCTTAGAGAACCGTCATATTTGGCGGGTTCTCATAGAGAATTCGCCAAAATAATAATTTTCTCTTAGAGAATCGTCATATTTGGCGGGTTCCCATAGAGAGTTCGCCAAAATAACAAATTCTCTTAGAGAATCGTTATTTTTGACGAGTTCCATAGCGGGTCTGCTAAAATAATGATTTCTCTTAAAGAATCGTTATTTTTAGCGGGTTTCCATAGTGGGTCTGCCAAAATAACGAATTCTCTTAGAGAATCGTTATTTTTAACCGGTTCCCATAGCGGGTCTACCAAAATAATGATTTCTCTTAAAGAATCGTCAAATTTGGTGAGTTCCCATAGAGAATTCGCCAAAATAATGATTTTCTCTTAGAGAATCATCATATTTGGTGGGTTCCCATAGAGAGTTCGCCAAAATAATAAATTCTCTTAGAGAATCGTTATTTTTAACGGATTTCCATAGTGGGTCTGTCAAAATAATGAATTCTTTTAGAGAATTGTTATTTTTAGCGGGTTCCCATAGTAGGTCCGCCAAAATAACAAATTCTCTTAGAGAATCATTAAATTTGATGAGTTCCCATAGAGAATTCACTAAAATAATGATTTTCTCTTAGAAAATCGTCATATTTGGCGGGTTCCTATAAAGAGTTCGCCAAAATAACGAATTCTCTTAGAGAATCGTTATTTTTGACAGATTTTCATAGTGGGTCTGTTAAAATAATGAATTCTCTTAGAGAATCGTTATTTTTGACGGATTTTCATAGTGGGTCCGTCAAAATAACGAATTCTCTTAGAGAATCATTATTTTTAGCGGGTTCCTATAGTGGGTCTGCCAAAATAATGATTTCTCTTAGAGAATCGTCAAATTTGGCGAGTTCCTATAGAGAATTCACCAAAATAATGATTTTCTCTTAGAGAATTGTCATATTTGGCGGGTTCCCATAGAGAGTTCACCAAAATAACGAATTCTCTTAGAGAATTGTTATTTTTGATGGGTTCCCATAGTGGATCTACCAAAATAACGAATTCTCTCTTAGAGAATCGTTATTTTTAACTGGTTTCCATAGCAGGTCTGCCAAAATAATGAATTCTCTTAAAGAATCATTATTTTTGGCGGGTTCCTATAGTGGGTCTTCTAAAATAACGAATTCTCTTTTAGAAAATCATTATTTTTAACCGGTTCCCATAGCGGGCTCCCATAGTTGTTCCGCTAAAATAATGAATTTTCTTAGAGAATCGTTATTTTTTAATAGTTTCTCATAGTGGGCCCGCTAAAATAACGAATTCTTTTAGGGAATCGTTATCTTTAGCGGTCTCCCATAGTGGGTCTGCCAAAATAACGAATTCTCTTAGAGAATCGTTATTTTTTAACAGTTTCTCATAATGGGTCTGCTAAAATAACTAATTCTTTTAGAGAATTATTATCTTTAGCGGTCTCCCATAGTAGTTCCGCCAAAATAACGAATTCTCTTAGAGAATCGTTATTTTTTCATGGGTTCCCATAGAAAATTCTGAAGGTAAGTTATCGTTGATGGTGGGTAAGTGGATTTTTTCATTTCTTTATTTTTTAATTTTTAATTTTTTTCTTTTTTTTTCTTGTAGTTATTCTTTGGGTTTCTTTTTTTCTCTGGATTCTAAGGTACTTTTGATTTCGGTAGGAAGGAGCTTTTTAATTAATTTTTTTTTTTTTTTAGAATCAATCTTTCTTTTGGATCATTTGGGTTTGGATTTTTATTATAAAATTTCTTTTTTATTT